GTAAATTTTACATATAATCCATAATACGATCTTAGCTATTAGAGATATGGAACCATGACAATGGGGACATAATTTGTGTTCAGAGCTAAGTGACAATTAGTAACTAAGCTTCGTTCACCTATTTTATCTTCCATCTCCAGAATTTTTCTAGCTAAAATTTAATATTGTTGTAGAATTGATATTCTGAAATCTCAATTTATGATCTCTTTGCGTCTTCAAAAAAGTATTTGGAAGCGAGTATCCTGCATTTTTCGGACGTGCTTCTAAATTATTCAGACAGAAGAATACAGAGCAACGAGCTAAAATTAGACTTCCTCATACCAAACAGTACTGAAATACTGACTGAACCTAATATAAATGACAAAATAAATAACTGCCAGACTTTTAAGAGAGCGGCTGAGATTCCGGCTCGCGTGCTTCGGTCCCGCCCAGTTTTGGGTTGCGGCGGTCGATACAAATCGTCGCTATTGATTGCCAGTTTGGGCCCTAGGCCTGCCATGCCACATCGGCATCGCGACCTACCTTTACAAATGTAACGTATGCCGTAATGTAACGTAACATACCTTAACAAACGTCGATCCGTAATGCAGTGGATATCGTAACGCAACGTAACATACCAATACGTACGTCGATCAGACGTGCAACATGTTTCGTGACGTACCCTAAATTATTATAAAAAATATAAATCAGTACTCACTGCAGTGAGTGACAGAGAGCGCATTTTCTCGTCGACGAAAACTTGAGGTCAAGGACGGACGGACGGACAGACGGACAGACAGACGGGCAAGGCGAGCACAATAGTGCATTTTTTCCATAAATGAGAAAATGCGCTAAAAAACGTCCCTCTACGAAACAACGTGTGCGAGAACGTACCGGAACCTACCTTAGCAAACACCGCTCCGTAACGCACAGTTACATACATAATGTATCGAAACGTACCGTAACATGCATTAACAACCACCGCTCTCTACCGCAAAGTGTATCGTAACGTACCGTAACATACCTTAATAACATACCTTAATAAACACCACTCTCTATCGCAACGATTACCGTAATTTAGTACCTTAACGAACGCCGCTGCATAGCACAAGGTATGTCTTAACGCACGTAACTTCTCACGTCACGTAGCAACGCATCACGTACAACAAAGTACCGTTGCTGTATGTCACGCCACAATAGAATGAAAAGTGTACCTGATATGAGCTGGACGTGTTACGAGACAAACACGCCCGCGATCTCGGCGTGGCGTCGGTGTTTCGTTTTGTATTCCACAAGCGCAGGTCGAGCAACTTCGAGGTCTGCATTATTCAGCAGAATTGCCTGGTCTCGGTGGCTAAAATGACACGAGTTCTTCTGGGGAGGAGGAGTTCGCTTATACTTGATTGTCAACCAATGCAAGAGCTGCGATAAAAAGTTTGTAGATCAAAAATTCCGATGAAAAACATGGGCAACAGTTCGAGTAGTTGAAATAAGGTATTTAAAGATTGAAAATCAGCTGCTTGAGAACGGAGTAAATAGCGACTTGAAGTGATCAATTTACGGACAAGCATACATGTGAACATAAGTTTGGGTGCCGAAGAAGGTGATCTTTCCACAATACCAAGATGCACACATGCCAACTGCTAATTGGCTTTAGAATAAATAATAGTTCTAAAGTGTTCATCAATAGGAAACGTGGGCAAGTTATTGTTAATAATCGGAGGAAGAAAAGGATTTGAGTTAGACATTAAAAATTCGACTAAGACAAGTATAAGTTAGAATTGAAATAATAAAAACGTAATAAAGTAATGAAAACCTGTATAATTCATTTTAGTAATTTCGCAACACTAGCACGGATTTTTTTTTATTGGGCATCTTATAGAATCTTTAAAAGATTTTTTTCGAAGAAAACTTCACTCTTTTCAAGGTGCTGAAAATTGCACCTATCGTCGAAGTTTAGGCCCGAAGAACTGACAAAAAAAGCGACTCGAGTCGCCGCCTCTGTTGACCGAGCGGCTCCTGCGACCAAGAGAGGGGAAGACGTGTGGACCTCAAGTCCATTAACTCCACGCCAAGAGGATGGCTTTATATCAGTCAATCAAAGTTACATTGTTTTCAAAATATTCTGAAAAAAAATCTTCAAAAACCCACTTACTTTTGTTATGTTTTCTTTTAAATGGCCTCTTGCATTTCACCAGAGAAGAGTTTTAATATAACTTTGATGTAATGAAAGGTGCAATCAACCTACCCTCCAGGCTTGCTCACCTTGCTGTAAAAAGCGAGAATTTTCCTGAAGAAGTTTGCTCATCTCACTTCGCGGGACTTGACCTTATAAAAGAAGATTCCTTGCAATCACCTAATTCAGTCAGCATGTATTTCACGATGAGGTTCGCTCCTTGCAATCGCTTCAAAGTGTGTCAAGTTACTCAGCTGAAAAGGAGAAGACTTTCACATTTACCAGCCCGGAAGGCTTTCACGCTGACCGAACTCCAAAGAATTCTCCCTTAAAAAGCAAATACGACGATTTAGTTATTGAGTCCCTCTGTGTTAGACTGGACCTGTGGAATCCTCCTATCGCTAAGCTCGTTACCTGATTCAAAATTCCTTGCTGCCTTCCAATTCATTTTTGTTTGTACACCTTCTAATTCATTTTGTTTGACCAGTTAAGTAGTGAACCTGAATTCCCTTTGCAGTCAAATATTGATATGATAATTCCATGACCCATGATATGATGACAGAACATGCGAATTTTAGCATTTTTTCAAAAATATCGGTTAAAAATTTAATTCCATGTGTTTTCCAACCTGATTTTATTCCTGGAGTGAGCATGAGCAACGAGGAATATCTTTTCTACCACAACATCTACCGGCTCGTATGAGTCGCGATGAAAAATGAAATTTGTCACAAGTTTCTCGTTGGTTGTTCCGTCTCCGTCGCCACGTCCGAGCTATTCAGAATACTCAGTCGAAGCATAAGTTACGATTGTCATTTGTCAGCGCATAGCCGAGCGCACCTCGACAATGGCTCGACTTCTTACGAGCCAAAAAAGAAACTGATGAATTTCGACGCTAAATCCCACAATGGAGTTTCTTATAATGCGGCATTGAGTGTGGAAATAAATGTAGTCCCATGGATGCGGTGAATGAATATGGTATCATGGATGCGGCGAATGAATATGGTATCATGGATGCGGTGAATGAATATCGTCCCGTGAATGTATGCGGTGAATGAATGTGGTACCAGGGATATATATATACGGTGAATATATAGTCCCATGCATGAATGCGTTGAACGAATATGGCACCATATATACGGTGAATATAAATATAGTCCCATGCATGGATGCGGTGAATGAATATGGCACCATAGATACGGTGAATATAAATATAGTCCCATGCATGGATGCGGTAAATGAACGTGGTACCATGTATGCGGTGAATGAATATGGTACAATAGGTGCGGTTAATAATATATGTGTCTATGTATGCGGTGAACTAAATTGTCTATGAATGCGGTGAATGAAAATGCGCATATAGATGCGGTGAATTAATGTTGTACCATGACGTCATTGACGTCATTTCGGGCTTTGATAATATCGGTGTTCATGAACGTGAATTTGCAAATCCAGAAAATTCACCAAGTACAATATCGGTTGTAAGATATCAGACTTCTCTGAAGAGCTCACGCCAAATTAGAAATATTCTAGTCTCGAGATTCCGTTTCTGCTCGATTTAGTGAGCGCCTGAGCTCGGCCGATGTCGCTCTCTGACGATCGCTAATTTGACGTCGGTCGAGCAGACGCTTTTGTAAGGAGTCAGCAGCGTGTGAAGACTGCCGCTCTAAAAGTTTGCTGGCAGTCAAAGCGCCTGAAATTATCTAGAACAGGAACGCAAGATGCACTCGTCGCAGCCGCTGAATAGCGAGCGTTTCAATGATCAATGCAGAACTGAACTCGAGTGTCAGTCAGGCCTAAATCTATCATAGACCGACTCTAACATTACTACATCGATAGACTTATCCACAATATAAATGTATGAAGGGCGACAGTGAATGAATTTGAGTACGTGAAAAAATTATTTGGTATAAGTAAGTAATAATTCTGCGCAAAATTTTTGCAACTATTTCGGCCTTAAAACTTCTGCTTCAAAAATCATGTACAGAATCGCATTCATCTTACGCGCTACATAAGCTCAGTTCTCACTCATTGCCTATTCATTAACTCTTATAAAATTTAGGAACAATGGTGCGCTTGTCGTCAAATATTCTCGAGTAATGTTCCTCCCGCAAGCGATGTTCACCGAACTGTAGGCTGGTCGCAGCATTACGCAGCCTGGAGCGCTGCCTGCAGTTCGTGTAGCAGTCGTCGTACTAACTTCCCCCGCACTAATTTGCACAAGACGTACGTCCCAGGGTCTTAACGAAGTCCGTGACTTAGAAAAATCTTCATACGATAATTACCGGCTGAAGATCTCGCCTGGTGTAAGCGCTGCACTGCATCGTATTCAGCAACTCGATTGTACATATACGCACTCAAGAAACAGAAATTGAAGTTGATCAAAAAATAATTCCGTCTATCCTAAATTAGAAAAGAACGAATGAAATTACGCAGAAAATGTTCATAAAATTTATGAGATACATTTTTCAAGTAAGTCGAAGCGTTCATTAGACATGGGCTTGCGGTACTAATGATAATGCGACATTTATATGTTATCCTTCTCCATATTTAGATTTCGCCCACCACAAATACGATCTCATGACTTTAATACTCGTACAACATCAATTGTACTTGAAAAATCTTGAAAGTTTTGAGTCTATTAAAGAACAGTAGCTAGTCGGATGAAGCATACTCTAAATATGGCATTCAATTTTACATTGCCCTGATCAGCTCCAGAAGTTAGATCTATTTTGCCGCATAACTGACGTCCTAATCCAAATTTTCTTGCAACGTGTACTGGATAGTAATTGAAATTTTCTTGCAATTTTTGAATGACTAAATAAATAATGTTGTTGCTCGTTCACAGGCTACGGCCACAATGGACTCGCCATGTCCAAGTCTTCTCTCGACGCCCACAGCCCCCACCTACGACAGCCTGGTGAGTAATCACCTACCACTACCTACTGCGATTCACGTATATATTCAGCATCTTACCTTTCAATTACGTATTCGTGTGACGTGTGTCATTGTGCTTACAGCTGCACCGAATATTGACATATACCGTTGCGTCGTTTTTGAGTCACTTTGATAACTTGGTATGCAAATGGCTAGTCGGCGTAAAAATATGTATTCTGAATGCACGCAGATTTATTTGCATTAATTTATTAATTATCAGCAAAGTTTGCACGCGGAGGAGCAGGTTTCAGGCTTCCTAGTTCCTGACGCCAGCAAAGTCTGTACGTAGAGGAACAGGTTTCAGGCTTCCTAGTTCCTGACGCCAGCAAAGTCTGCACGCGGAGGAGCAGGTTTTAGGCTTCCTAGTTCCTGACGCCGACGATTACTTCAGGCAAAAGCTTGAGCGTCTGAGTCGCCCCATTGGCCGTGATTGCCCTCGTTGGAGCCTCTCTTTCCCTCATTAGGGGGAGGGGAAGTAAAGGGAGGGAAGGAAGTATAGGGGAAAGTAGGACGATAAAAAGAAAAGGATAATTAACTTACGAGGGAGATAGAAAAATAATGGTTTTTCGTAATCAACATGATCGAGCGTCCATCACAGTCAGGAAGAAACATATTTCCAGGATTGAATTATGCGAATGATTCGGCCTTGATTCTGTGGTCAACTTCCTCAAATTTGACTCCCTAACAGTGGGTATTATTAGCTTATTCTGCTTACTTCCATGGTGTGTGAATTACCTGAAAGAGTGCAAGTTTTAGCTTAGCCTATTTATTCAGTTATTCTACATTGAATACAGGCTTTCATTATTTATGCTTTGAAAATGCATTTGACGGAAAAAGTTTTCTGAATGCTTCATGATTTTAAAAGTATTTTTTTTGTTCACAGCGCCACAAAAATCATTTAACGGCAAACAATTCCTCGATGGTTGAGTTTACCCGAATCACTAGAGGTTGTGCTAGGAAAATAAATCTTAAACTCTTTAACTATTTATTGATTCAATAGAAACAAATTGCAAATATTTAAATTTAAACAATATCGCTATGATGTACTTACATATATACAAATATATATATAAATTTATTTATGCAAGTTGGCGTTACGGCAACAATTTCACATACTTAATCATACGCTTTGTCTCAATACTATGCAATGGTTGGTGAAAAGTTCGCACCGCATCCCAGAATGAAGCTCTGCGAAAGTTGAGTTGCGAAGCTCGCGTTTATCTAACCGAGGAAATGGGTGAAATGATTTGCAGCTGTGCGTTAGGAAGGGTGCAGAACTTCAGAAATAATTTCAAATATCAATTTGGCAGCCGTGAATACAAGTAGTCCCTGGCAGCGAACAAATGAAAGGAGCTTTTTTGGTGCACTTGACGCGAGCGTGACAGTTGGCAAACAAGTCGCCCTTCAATGGCCCTTCCAAACTCAATTACTGCAATAATCATTGTGTTCATTTGACCTTCAAATCGACTCAACTCTCTGCATTGTCCTTTTGAACAATGACCTGTTTCATGTCTTCATCTTATTTTTAATAAAAGTTTATAATATTAAAAGCCTTCAAATCTGTTACATCATACAGAATTGTAACATTGAGTAACATGAGACCAGAGGTTGAACAACCTCACTTAAATTATAATAACAATATATTATATTTCAGTGGTAAATTTTTTATGCTTTTGACCCTCAAACGCACAGGCTCCATTCGCTTCTCATTGTGCTGCTGGTACATTAATTCATAACGCACATTGCAGAACCGACGTTGACGTAAACAAAAATGTCTAGTCTAGACACACAAAATTCCCATTCCCAACTTTCAGAAATTTACAGTGACGAGTTTTCCATTGACTCGCGTTGTGGGGCCACGTCGCTCAAAAGCTAGGGTGTGGGCCCCACCAGCCTCACCAGTCTCGTTGGGCTCATTATATCAATCGGTGGGCAATTGCGCGTCGTTGTTGCTCAGTAACAGGATCACCGAGGATCAAAGCCCTGGTGGCCACCAGCCCTCATAGCGATCTCTGTCATCAGCGGCCGCCTCCGTCCACGCGGATTATTGTTCGCTATGCGCCGATTGTGAACCTTCGCTTCGTGGTGGGATTGACGAACAGGTTTCGTAATGATGGATTCCGAAAAAGCTATAAGTCACGAAAAAATTGACGATATAATTGTGTGTCTTGTTAAGATGTATGAGGTATATTTGACATCTTGCCTTTATAATTTCGCTGCTGTGTTTTAAATACCGAACAGACTTTGATATGATATAAAGTGTGGATGAAAGCTGAAATTGAATGCTGAAGACAGACGTTGTCCAACAAATGTCTCATTTTTGTTACCATATTGACAGTGGTAGAATTAAACTTTATAGTAGGGTACCTTTTTGTTATTACAGAAACAAAAGATCGTACAAACAACAAATACCAAAATGACGATCAAACCACAAATATTGTTCCTGTTCTCTTTAAAATTTTTTTCACCTCTATCCCTTCTGACCGTTAAACCAAATTTTATTGGCACCGATACCGTTTATTACGCTTTCATGTTATTTTGCTAGAGAAAAGATACATCAATAAGTAATCTTGAGGGAGAACATCAGTTGGCAATCTTGAGTGAGTTTGAAAGCTAGATGAGCCATTCCCACGGAACGCTCGTGCGCCCGACACACTCCCTCCGTTCCGGCCGTCATGGGTAACATGAACTGCTCTCAGCTCACACATTCCGGCATGACCAGAACAAACTATCAATTACGAGGAACTGGCGCACGTGGCTAAGCGCACCACATGAACAAAGATCTCGTGGCAGCCATGAGCGCTACTTGAAAGCTCATGGCCGTGATCATGACTGAACCAGGGAACCAAAGACAGGGTTTGTTATCAAGATCAGGTTTCCCTGGAATCAACATCTCCAAATCTGTTCTCGACATTTTTGGGTTAGGTTTGCCTGGTAGAGAGAAGATCGAGTAGAATAAACATAGATATTTTCCAAGCCAGAACACTCAAAATGAATCATATTAAATCCAAGCCATAATTATCAGAGCGTGAATAGGATTATTGGTGATTACAAATACGGCCTTAGCCGGGATTATCACTCGCCATCAAAGAAAATCCCTATAAATAAAAAAGTATTAAATATAATAAGCAATCAATATGTAAGCAATACATAGATAAGCAATACGTAAACAAGCAGGATCCCTATAAGCAGGCCAGTGGATTTCAAAGTAAGTCAAGCTACTCCAGCTATCAGGGTAAGTCAAGCTACTCCAGCTATCAGGGTAAGTCAAGCTACTCCAGCTATCAGGGTAAGTCACGCTACTCCAGCTATCAGGGTAAGTCAAGCTACTTCAGCTATCAGGGTAAGTCAAGCTACTTCAGCTATCAGGGTAAGTCAAGCTACTTCAGCTATCAGGGTAAGTCAAGCTACTTCAGCTATCAGGGTAAGTCAAGCTACTCCAGCTATCATGCAAGTCAAGCTACTTCAGCTATCATGTAAGTCAAGCTACTTCAGCTATCATGTAAGTCAAGCTACTTCAGCTATCATGTAAGTCAAGCTACTCCAGCTGGAGTAGCGTGACTCACCTCGATAGCTCGAGTATCTCGACTCGCCAAACTCTGTAATCATTCATCAATAAATTCGATAACAATAAATGAAGTGATGTATAAGCATGTAAGCCCAGAAACATCCCGCGAGCAGTTGCGGCAGCCACAATCCCACACACACACAAGTGACCCCGCGGCACTCGCTCCTCATCTTCGAATTTCAATGGGGAAGAAGCCCAGCTTCATTTCCGCTTTTATTCGAACTCGAAGATTTTTTATGAGTCGATTATTGATCATTTCCCTGCGAGGCGAGGGCGACAAGCCCTGGGCGGCAGTGGACGATTGTACGAGACGATTTCCAGGCTGCGGAGGATGACATTGTGAGGTGGGCGACATTGTGAGGTGGGCGACATTGTGAGGTGGGCGACATTGTGAGGTGGGCGACATTGTGATGTGGGCGTCATTGTGAAGTCATTGTGATGTGGGCGACATTGTGAGGTGGGCGACATTGTGAGGTGGGCGACATTGTGAGGTGGGCGACATTGTGAGGTGGGCGACATTGTGAAGTAGGCTATCTTGTGACGCAGGCAAGAAGTTGAATGTCAGTATGTAAGATAATCGTTAATATAGTAAAGTAGGAAAGCCTGTTACGCAGGAGACTTCGTGAAGTGTTCAACACCGTCTTCAATGCAGTGCCATTCCCATCTTTTACTCCCTTTACGTCTGCTTATTTGTTGCGCGTAATTGCCTGTTACTCTTCGGCTCTCATTTCTTATTATACTTTACTTGCTCTATTAACTTCGTTTTATACATTGGCTTCCTTACTCGTGAGCAGTTCATACTTTATTTTTGTACGCAAGCATTTTGTTGTCTCCAGTTTATTTCTTTCTCGTACTCGATTACTTATCTCGTGCCAGGAAATGAAGGGGCGAGAAGGCAGCGCCGGGGCCGGCAAAAGCAGTATCGGGGCCGGCGAATGCGATCATCCAGACCTAATATTGCGCTGCGAACAATGAATATTTGTGTGTTTTCTTACAGTATGTCACTATCTTTGCAGCTTCTTGTCGCGGCTCCCGTAGCAATAACACCGATGCGAACAGGTCATTTCGAAGTTTGACCATACCATTGATCATGCCGTTCAGAATGCCGTTAATCACGCATGGTTCATGAATGAATGTATCGCTACAATTCATTACTTGCGTTAACAGCGCACAAGAATCCGTTTGAAAAACTGCTTGGCGTTCCTATAACGTTGCTCGATAACATAATTAACATAGTTGCTGATGACAATAAATACAGACTGAATTAATGAACTAGAATCATTGCCAGTATGATTAAACGCAAATGTTTATGATGACAGAACATAAAATATTCATGATGACATTAAACTCAAAATGTTGATGATTATTAAACTAATAATGTACATAAGATTAAAACGTGAAATGTTCATAATAAT